GTGATTGAATCGTAGTAGTAGGCTAGGCTACTGACAAGTTGTATTTATTAACCATCATTTTATTATTGAAACGGTCCAAGTGCCTGTGGTTGTTGCCTCCTCTCTCTGCGCTCTGCCCCCCCCCCCACGCTGCTGCTGCTGCTTCCCCCAATTGTTCGGACGCTAACAACGCGACTATTTTTAGCTCTGCTTGGCTGCATAATCATTATACAATAACGCGATCTGATTCTCTCTCTGCCTCACTAGCTCCTCGCCGGCAGCTGGCGGTATGGTGACTGCTTGCTTTATGAGTAAGGGACGCGTTCATCCCCGTATCACCCCTTTCAGCCGGCTGCGTGTTTGGCAGTCTACAGCCAGCGCACCTAGCGGAAGTGAACTGAATCGTGCATGTTTTCCAGGGAGATTTTCCATTATATTTTCTAAATATGGTTTTTTTAAACATATAACCCAATAAATGACAAAAAGCAAAGTGTTAGAATCGAACCTGATGCGTAGGAATGAAGCACGAAAATTTTCAGCCGGATTCGTGCACGCGCCTAGAAGTTATGCAGGAACAAACAGAACGACACTACTCAAATTATTATATAGATGACCAAGGCGTATTCGACTTTATACGATCGTGTTTGTCAGAGATTGAGAGGGCCAGAGAGCTAGAGGCGGCTGTGGTGCGTGTAATGTGGAGTCCTGTGTAAGGATAAATAAGTTGTGTGCGGTACCTAGCTGTTCTACAGGAAAACGAAGGCTCATCATGGGTGCCAACAACGTGTAAAGATAGGCCTTTGACGTTTTACAGCCTTTTTCTCAGTGCAGCATTTTGTAACCGGTTTGTGACGTGAACAGTCAGTCCGTAGGTGAGTTATCTGAAATTCCGTTTCCGTGAATTGTTTCGGGTGAGCCATCCTTTTAAGGGCAGGATGAAACTGGGCCGGGGGGTATTTTGTGCGTGTCAGATGAATGCATGAATAACGCCATGGATGTGGCGTATAGTATAGTGTGCTCTTACGTCTATCTTACAACACTGCATGAGTGGGTGGTGGGTGCGTGTCTTCGTATTGCTTTGTATATATATATACCCCGACGCGTGCGAGCGCGAGATATAGTGATGCCTTCAATCAGCCATCAGTTTTGCTCACATCTCTGAGCTTATTTGACTTTTCTCTCCGGTTTTTGCTGTGATTGCTGTGGCACCCTGTCGAACTTTGATGCATTGTCATATTGGTTTGTATTGTCGCCTTGGGTATTACTATTAGTTGTTGCCATTATAACAAGTTCTCAATTCGGTACACTGTAAAATCAGCAGTGAATGAAATCAAACAGTTTTCAGACTTCCGATAAAATACAAAAACGAGGTGCGCATCTCCTTCCAAACGTGTGCATACAGTGCATTGTAACCATCTAACCCATACATGTGTCCGATTTAGGGTAAAAATGCATGGACAGCCACAATTTGGGAATTTACGATGGTCGTGATTCTAAGTTACCTAGTGTTTATATCCAAATTGACACAAAATGCGTTACAGTTTCTTAATCATCAGATTATGTCTCGTTCCCTTCTGAAATAACCCCATAGCAACTATTTTAAGGTTTTGTAAAAACACCTTTTTTAGCTGAGATCTGACGGACCAAGTGACACTTTTTTTCGGAGTTTGAGGAGGCATATCTCCTGACAGTGACATTGACACTCAGATACAGAAAGTAGTTTACATGCCTGTAGCCGATTGTGAGCTGTTTTGCTTAGCTTGGTTTTGTTTACTCGTGAAGTAGAAAGCCTACTCTAATTTTAGGAATTTTAGGAATACCTTGGAATATATCGTGAAAGGTACAAGACCGTAATCGTACTCGTGTAAGTGTACATGTCCCATGTGCACTGACTTGTTTACCTAAAGGATGGCTACTATTTGTGTACATTATACTGTAATGTATGTTTGCAGGTAGCAACTATATATATACATACATATGATAACTAGAGGGGTTAGTGGCAAGTTGAGCAGTTGGTTCTAAAGGCAGGAATAAAATGACTACGGTAGTCATTATAGCTTGCTGTATCGATAAGGTTGCTATCTACATTTCTGCAAGCAAACAGGTCTGTCCAGACTATGTAAATATACATATTTTTCAAGATATGCCATGACATGTTTTTCAGCTAGCAGTTGCTGCGCAGCTATATTTATTATACATGAGAATAATACTGAAAGTAGCAAAATCGCTGGTTGGCAAAACAACGTTATGTCGGCACTAATAAGTATAATGTTTTGCGTGCACTCCAATTATTCACCAGTGAGCAAGTTCATGTTTACGATCAGATCAGGTAGTCAGAATGTTTTAAATCGGAATGTTTATTAGGGCTGTATTAACGGAAGCAAGGCTGAAACCAGTGTTGAATGTGATTGCTCATGACAATTATTCCTATTACACCATAGGTCAAAAAAGTTCGCAATTCTACGAAATTCAGGGGCAGAATATTGCTGTGATTGAGTATTTCGACGTGCCAACAAGTCGGATTTGTGTTGTGTGATTTGACTACATAGTTTACCGTTGATTAGTCCCTCGATTTCAATCACAAAAAAAACACTTTTTAAACACATTTTGCCTTGTTGGCGAAAAAAACTTTTCACACAGGTGGTAATTGCATTGCAATAATTGCGCGTGACAGCCAGGAGGAATGGTGTAAAGAAACACACGTCCGCCGGCGTCGTTAATCCTCATGTTGTGTTATTCCGTTGTGATTACAGAGACCGGCGCCGATGTGAAGGATCGTGACACAACGAGGAACGACCCGACAATGACGTCGGCGCGTGCAGTCGTGACCCCGATCGTCCTCCGCGGCCGCATCGTCGCATAGAGAACTCGCTCGAACACCGCATCGCCACGATGGTCGCCAAGTCGGCGCTCTGCCAGGTGCTGTTTCGCCTCGTGCTGCCGCTATGTCTGCTCGTGTCGGCCGTCGTGCGCTTCAACGCGCTCTCGTTCATGTACGCGGCGCTGCTGCTCGTGCTGCCCCTGCTCTCCGGCCCCACCTACCAGAGCATGGCCAGCCACACGGGCCGCTACCTGCGTGCGGTCGCCGCGCTCTCCGTGCTCGCACTCGTTGGGCAGGTCGTCTTTCACGTGACGCTGCTCTCGATGCCGCCCTACGGCGACCACCTGCCCAACTGCGAGCCGCTCGAGAAGCTCGTGCGGCAGCTCGGCTTCCAGCGGCTCGACAGAGGCAGCGCGCTCGACCTCATCCGCCTCATCGGACCCGACATCCTCATGGCCGTCGTCGGCATCGTCGTGCTCGTCATCTGCCAGAAGGCGCCTGTGCCGGACATCACGCAGTTTGAGGAGGAGGTGCAGGAGGCGGAGGGCGTCACGGGAGGGGAGGGCGGGGAGGAGAAGGGGCGGAGCAGCGCGAAGGAGACGGCGGCGAGCGCGCTGCAGTACATCGCCGACGTAACCTTCGTCTTCTTTCTCGCCGCCTGCGGCATCGTCTACCCGTCGGGGCTCTCCGCTGTCTACTTCCTCGCGTTCCTCGGCATCGCCACCTGGTGGGCGTGCTTCCGCTCGCTCGGGCGCGTCTTTGTCACGCTGCGGCTCGTGCTGCTGCTCTACGCCGCGCTGCACCTGCTGCTGCTGCACCTCTACCAGTTCCAGTTCTTCCAGGAGGCGCTGTCGAGCGAGGACGTCGTGGCGCGCGTTGTCGGCCTGACGTCGCTCATCGTGACGACGTGCGACGACCCGCGGCGCCTCGTGTTCGCACGCGCCCCCTGGCCGGTGTTCGTCAACCCGCTCGTCGTTTTCACCTTCTACTGGCTGCTCGCGAGCGACGTCCGACGGTGGCTCCCCCTGCCCGTGCAGGAGCCTGAGGCTGCGGCGGCGGCGGCGCCCGACACGCCCGCGATCGCTCCGAGGCCGCTCATCAAGCGGCGCTACAGCGGCCGTAAGCGGATCGGCGAGTACAGCCAGCTGCTGCACGAGCAGCAGAAGAAGTACGACTCGACGGAGAAGCTGGATGCTGCAGAGGGCGCCGGCGACGCTTGCCCGAGCTCGCCGCGGCGGGCGGCGGAGGAGGCGGAGGAGGCGGAGGAGTCGTCGTCGCCGGGCGCGTGCTACACAGCGATGCGCTTCATCTCGCGGCAGAGCTACATCGCGGCGCTGATCGTCATGATGGCGTGGGGCATCACCTACCACAGCTGGCTGACATTCGTGCTGCTGCTGTGGGCCTGCCTCGTCTGGGTGATCCCAAACTCGCGCGGCGTCTGCCTGCTGATGTCGCCCGCGATCGTCGTCTACGCCGAGGCGCTCCTGCTTGTGCAGTTTGTCTTTGGGATGGACCTGACCATGGACGAGCTGGGGCTGGGCGGCCGTCTCATGGTCGAGATGCGCGAGATCGGTCTCACCAAGTACGAGTACCCGTGCCTGCCGCTCGCCATCAAGACCCTCTTCACGCTCGCTCTCTGGGTGATGATGCGGCAGTTCATGCGCGAGAGGTGCGAGCGGCAGCAGGAGCGCGAGGCGGGCGGCGCAGAGGCGGCGGCGGCGGAACAGGACACGCGGCGCAGCCTCGAGTCTTTGCTGCGCGGGCCGCCCAAGGACAGCTCGCCGACGAAGAGGATCAGCTACTGGCTGCTGTACCAGCTCACCAAGTACTGGATCTTCGTGTGCGCGGTGATGCTGCTGGTGATGAGCCTGCAGAACGAGGTGGTGATCTATCGCATCTTCTACATGGCGCTCTTCCTCGTCTTCATCGTCACGCTGCAGATGTCGCTGCGCGCGTGGCGCGCACTCATGCTGCCGTTCTGGATCGTCGTCGTGCTCTACTCGATGGTCGTGCTCGTGCTCATCTACACGTACCAGTTTGAGACGTTCCCCGACTACTGGCGCAACGCGACGGGCATGTCCGACGTGCAGCTGAGCGACATCGGGCTCGAGCAGTACGACACGAAGGAGCTGTTCATCAGCCTGCTCACGCCGACCTCGTTCCTCATCATCGTCATCCTGCAGGTGCACTACTTCCACAAGGCCTACATCCAGATGATCGACGTCGACGACGGCCGCAAAGGGGCGCCGCCGGCCGACGGCGAGGAGGCGGACGCGAAGGACGCGGAGAGCTTTGAGAAGGACATGCTCGGCTTCTGGGAGAAGCTGCGCGGCTGGCTGGCGGCGGCGTGCGAGGTCGCGTGGCGCCTCCTCGAGATCCACGCGCTGCGCGTGGTGGCGATCGCTCTCGTCGCGCTCGCTACCTTCGACGTGTCGCTCGTCAACGCCGTGCTTGCCGTGCTCGCGGTCGTCGCGCTGCTGCTCGACAACTCGTGCGGCGGCCTCGCCGCGTCGCACCTCGCCGCCGTCTGGACCGCGCTGCTCGTCCTCGCCAAGATGTGCTGCCAGCTGCAGCAGGTCGACATGAGCGTGTTTGAGAAGAACTGCACCGACGCGCCCGACTCGCCCTTCAACGGCACCGCGGAGCCGACGACCGGCGCGTGGTTCGGCCTCGAGAAGACCGACAACGTCGAGGCGTACCTGAAGGGTTACATCGGCGTCATCGCGGCGCTCTGCGTGCAGGCGATCGCGCGTTACCGGCAGCAGCACCACCGTGCGGTGAACGGCATCGTGCCGCCGCCGTCCGGCGTCGTTTTCCCGGAGGTGGACCGGCGCGCGGCGGACGACGGCATCGTCGAGTGCGCCAAGTACCTCGTCAACTACGCATTCTACAAGTTTGGCGTCGAGATCAGCTTCCTGATGACGGTCGTCACGGTGACGGTGCGCATGGACGCGTATGCCGTCGTCTACATCCTGCTGCTCGGCGTGCTGCTGCTGCTGCCGCGGTCGGCGCTGCGCGTCGTCTACCCGGTCTACGTGATCGCGCTCGCCGTGCTGCTGCCCGTGCAGTACCTGCTCTGCCTCGGCCTGCCCGCCGCGCTCTGCCAGGCCTACCCATGGTCGTACCTGCAGCCGGCGCTGCGCGAGTGGCTCTACCTGCCCGACTACTGGGACGTTCCCGAGGCGCATCTGCTCATCGCCGACCTCTTCCAGCTGCTGTTTGCGATCCGGCTGTGGCGCGTGTTCTGGCGGGAGCGCGATGCCGACTACGCCGGCGGCAGCAACGACGCGATCGACTACGCAGCGCCGAATCCCGTCAAGGACTTCATCACGTCGGGCAACACGTACCTGGACAAGTGCAAGTGCGCCGTGTTCCTCTACACGTACTGGGTCGTGCTGGCAATGCTGTTCCTCGCCGGCACCAGCCGCGTCAGCCTCTACTGCATGGGCTACGTCATGTTCTGCTTCCTCTTCCTCTGGTTCGGCAACGAGTTCTACCTGAAGCCGATGAAGGTGATCAACCGCATGTGGAGCATCGTGCTCGCGTACAACTTCTGCGTGATGCTGCTCAAGGCCTGCCTCGAGGTCGTCGGCTGCGTCTACCTCGGCAGCCTCTACGTCAACTTCTGCTGGCTCGTGCAGCTCCTCAGCATCGCATGCCTGCGCTCGAGCTACGACCCGTCGGCCGACCCGGCGATCGCCGCCGAGTGCTCGATCCCGCTCGACCAGGCGGGCCTCGCGTGGGACTGCGTCTGCTTCGTGTTCCTGCTCGCGCAGCGACGCATCTGGCGCAGCCACTACTTTGCGTACGTCGTCGCCGAGATCCGCGCGCAGACGCTGCTGGCGTCGCGCGGCGCCGAGCTCATCAACGAGATCTTCATCGACGAGGTGACGAAGCGCGACCGCGCCGAGAGGGAGGTCGTCGCGAAGATGAAGACCAAGCTGGACCGCATCGCCACGCACCAGGCGAAGCTGAACGCCGTGACCGTCGCCGAGCCCGGCGAACTGAACCACTTCCAGGCGATCCGCGCCGGCGACTACTACATGTTCGAGGACGACGTCGCCGAGGAGGTGCCCATCACCGAGCTCGAGGACGAGACGCCAGGGGGCGCCAGCGGCGAGGAGGACGACGGCGAGCCGCGCACGCCCGGCCCGCTGCAGCTGCTGAACACGGCGTACCAGGCGGGCGACGTGAAGAAGGCCGTCGACGAGGCAAAGCAGGCGAAGGAGGAGGGCGAGGTGGGGAGTCCGACGCGCGAGCGTCCGCCCAGCAGGGGGGAGGCGCGGGCCGAGGAGGAGGGGGAGGAGGAGGAGCCGCCAAAGCAGTCCTGCTGGTCGAAGGTGCGCAACGGCTGCGCGTTCGTCTGGCTCTTCCTCTGCGGCGTGATGGACAGCGCCTCCTGCTGGCTGAACAAGATCTCGAAGGACTACCGCTACGTGGCAACGACGCTCGCGCAGGAGAAGCGGGAGCTGAAGGAGCGCGACACGTCGCTGCGCCGCATCGACGTCGTCTCCGAGCATGAGCCGACGCCCGGCGACGACGACCACGACAAGGACGCCGGATTCTCGAGCGACGTCGTCGCCGTCGACGAGCCGAACGACGTGCGCATCGCCATGGAGACAGACGAGGAGGCGGCGGAGGAGAAGCCGGGCAAGGACGAGCCGTCCGTCGTCAGACTGCTGACGGCGATCTACTACGTCGCGATCTCGCGCTCGGAGCTGATGTGCTACTTCGTGATTGCGCTCAACCAGATGAGCAACGCGAGCGTCATCTCGCTGCCGCTGCCGCTGCTCGTCTTCTTCTGGGGCACGCTGTCCATGCCGCGGCCGACGAAGACCTTCTGGATCTCGCTGATCACCTACACAGAGGCGGTCGTCGTCATCAAGTACCTGTTCCAGTTCAACTTCTACCCGTGGCTCGACGACATCAACAACGACCCGTTCTGGCCGCCGCGCATCCTCGGCATCGAGAAGCGCGACAAGTACGCCGCGTGGGAGCTCGTCACGCTGCTCGCGCTCTTCTTCCACCGCTCCATCCTCAAGTCGCTCGGACTCTGGAAGGACTCGGCCGACGATATCTACGTCGCCGCGCAGCACAACGAAGAGGACGGCGCCGTCGACGCTCCCCTGCCCGTGTGCGAGGCACCCGCGAGAAAGGAGGAGGAGGACGGGGAGGGGAAGGAGCAGGAGCAGGAGGCGGAGGAGGACGCGCCGCCGACAGGGTCGAGTCTCTACGTGGCGCCGTTCAAGAAGTTCTTCAACCGGCTGCTGCGGCCGACATACCGGCTGCCCGTTGACGTCTACGTGTTCCTGTTCTTCTGCGAGTTCGTCTGCTTCCTCATCATCGTGCTCGGCTACTCGGGCTTCGGGCCCTACCAGGGCGGCGGCGATGACGTAGCGAGCTACCTCTCGGAGAACAAGATCCCGATCCCGTTCCTCGTGATGCTCATCGCGCAGTTTGCGCTCATCATCGTCGACCGCGGCATCTTTCTGCGCAAGAACGTCAACGCCAAGCTCATCTATCAGTTCGTGCTGATCGTCGTCGTTCACGTGTGGATGTTCTTCGTGCTGCCGGCGATGACCGAGCGACTGTTCGTGAACAACCTGCCCGCGAAGCTGTGGTACCTTGTCAAGTGCGGCTACTTCGTGCTGTCGGCATACCAGATCCGCTCGGGCTACCCGACGCGCATCCTCGGCAACTTCCTCACCAAGTCGTACAACTACGTGAACCTGATCGCGTTCAAGGTGTTCGTGCTCATCCCGTTCGTGATGGAGATGCGCGCGCTCATGGACTGGATCTGGACGGACACGACGCTGTCTATCTTCAACTGGCTCAAGATGGAGGACATCTACGCGACCGTGTTCTCGCTGAAGTGCGCGCGGCGCGCCGAGGCGGCGTACCCGATGCCGCGCGCGCAGCCGCGCAAGCAGCTCGTCAAGTACCTGATGGGCGGCGGCATGCTGCTGCTCATCATCTTCTTCATCTGGCTGCCGCTGGTGCTGTTCTCGCTCGGCAACGTCGTCGGCGTGCGCAACGTGCCGCTCGACTGCAGCGTCGTCATCCAGATCGGTGGCTACGAGCCGATCATCGACATCGCCGCGCAGCAGCAGGACCTCGTCGCGTTCACCGACGCCCAGTTCGACGCGCTCCCGCGTGCTTTCCCGAACAACGCCGCCGCCAAGTCGTTCCTGAACAACTACGAGGCGGGCGACGTGCTGCACGTGAACCTGCCCGGCGACTCGACGTCCGTCTGGACCGCCAGCCCGCCGAGCCGCGAAGCGATGATCGACGAGCTTGCGGGCAACGCCAGCGACGTGCACATGACGGTTTCGTGGTCGTACACGCGCGCCTCCGACGGCAGCGTCGTGGAGCCGATCGTCAAGGGACTGCAGCTGATCACGCTCGAGCCCGAGTCATCGGTGCGCCGTCAGCTCATTGCCGTGCTGCGCGGCGCGACCGGCGCCAACGCCACCGTGCCGTCCATCATACCCAAGTACATGCAGGTGACGAGCAGCGAGGCGCGCGCTGCGACCGCGCTCATGCCGGCCGGCGAGGACGACTGGGTGACGATCCAGCTGACGATGAGCAACGACTCGACATCGGAGTGGTGGCAGCTGCGCGAGGTTGACGCGCGCGACGGCTCGATAAGTGAGCACGTGACGATTGTCGCGCTGCTCGACAAGGTGTTCCCGAGCGCGCTGAGCTTCCTCGCCGGCTACGGCATCATCGGACTGTACATCTCGCTCGTGTTCGTCGTCGGCCGCTTCGTGCGCATGTTCGTCAGTGGGCTCGCCGAGCGCATCATGTTCGAGGAGCTGCCGGACGTCGACCGGCTGCTGCAGCTCTGCCTCGACATCTACCTCGTGCGCGAGAGCCGCGAGTTCTCGCTCGAGGAGGACCTGTTTGCGCGCCTCATTTTCCTCTACCGCTCGCCCGCGACGCTCATCAAGTGGACGAAGCCGAAGCAGGAGTGAGGGAGGGCGGCGGCAGGCGCGGGCAGCGCCACCTGTGTTGTGCGTTGGTTGTAATCTGATGTGGTGCGTGTGGGTGTTTGTGTGTCTGAAGGGTAGTTAGCCGACATGTTGTCTGTGAGCATTGTCACTAGTAGCACCATGCTGATGTAGTGCGTGTGGGTATATATATGGCGTATGATGCTATATTACTGAATTCTATAACATGCAGTAGGCCGTCTGTGACAGCGGCATGGCAAGGTGCGTAAGGGATGAAGAGAAATGAGTAATTACTGCATATATTTAACAGTTGCAAAACTTGTTAGGGCTTCTGCACGTTCACACGCTAGGTTAGCTCTAGAACTATAGCCCTTCGCTCTGCCACAGCCTGTAGCGGAGCGAAGGTCTAGTTCTAGAGCTAACGCTAGGTCCGCTTTGTAATTACTTGCCTTTGGGCATCTATTACTGAGATGTGATCATTTGCTGCGATTTGTGAGTGAACTTCGCCGGTAAAGTCAGTAAACGTCTCGAATGCCTTGATTTATAATGATGCTTTTAGCATTTTTTGCTACGGAAATAGTTGTGCAGGTATTGATCTGGATTTTTAAGAATGCAAAAATGATGCAAGATCATGTAATTTTCTTTTCAAAAAACATACGGGTGGAAGTTGGAACGTTCTGCTTTTTGATAGCAATCAAAGATATATTTAACATATGTTCATATTTTAACTGCGCGACTTATTTTATGCAAGCAACTGCTTCGTTTTTATGGCCTTAAATAGTTTGCTGGCGAAAATCGTGTTGATGGACAGTGTGCATGCTATTGTGTCATTGCCTGTGTGTGACATATACGAATAGTGTTTGAGTGCTTTTAATGTTTGATCAGTGTAGGCGTAAGCGTAACGCCTAATTGCAGCCGTCCGTCTACCGCGGGTAGCCACACCTGTCAGGATTCGTGTCATCAGGATAGATATGGCACTCCTGATATAATCATGTCATTTCACTTTCTTTACCAGCGCATGCGAGTTTAGTATCTGTGCAGCATCAACTGCTTCCTGCTGGATATAGCTTCTGGATTTATCAGCTTTTTGTTCTGAGATACGGCACGCACGTGCCTGGCTTCCCCAGTTATGAGCCACACAAAAAAACTCAGAACGGGAGTCGGCAGCACGGAAATAGCTCGTACAGTGAGTGTGTGCGGCAGCGTGCAGTAGCAGTAGCTGACGTCGACCCAGGGACAGCACGCATTATCACAGCGCAGCAAAAACAACGGGAGTGCCGGTATCAGCGCAAATCTTACAGGGTTTAGCACGGGCGCCTGTCTAGTTTCAGTCTGATCGCCTCTTCCTTTTGGTCATTCAACAGACCGATTTAAGTGCGTTTATAGCTGCTGTGGAAGGAGCTTAGGGAACGCTACAGGGAAAATCGTTTATGTATGTGGCTGACAGGTACGCCGGTGGTACAGAATGTATGCAGGACACTGCTGAGAGTATCTGTAAGGTTGGGTTCGATAATGAAATAAACCTATTGCTAGTCAGTGTAGACACATTATATGATTATACTATATACAGCCCACTATAAATAATTTCATTCCAACGCGCAGTTACGGTGGAAGTTAGTGTCGCATTTTTAAGACCGATAAATTTGTTATTGCTATGCTGGACGCGTCAGTGAGAATGGTACGTTCCGTTTTCACGTAGGTAAGTGGGAAGCGACTGTGACCTTTTTAAATTGACTACGTCACGAATTTTCTATGGTAAAATTTGTAAAATTTTTGTTGCCATTTTTTTACATTAAAAGTAAGAATTAACGGGACTAAACGTATCGTTAAATTCTTACCTGATAAGATTGTTTCTCAACTAATTAAAAATCCAAGAAACCTGGACGATTTGATATTGTGTTCCTGACATTAATTGGTTGCTATGGGCTATGTATGAATCAAGAGTGTATGTTCACATCGAACAATATAGTAAAATAAGAAGTATAATGCAGCAATTTAACCATAAAAAGTGAACAGAATTACTTATATTTTGTGAAAAAGTGGAAATATTTTTTTTATTTTTACTATTTACGGTGACGTAATTGCTTTAAGTTTGCCTACCCGATTATTGTAATGATGGCATTGCGGTGTTTTGGTACAGCGGTGTATTTTAATGACCGATGAGTTTCCAATTCATCAGTGATATTCGATGAAACCCCCAATCATGAGCTGCATGTGTTTTAAAGGTATGAAGCAGAACGCTTTTTTCCCCTGGAGATAGTTGTAGTGGTGATAGTTTCCATAAGAACCACCTCGCGTAGATTTTGTGAGAACGTGTTGAATTATATATTGTAATTGGTGTCACTGCGTGGATCAAGTAGTTATGTTGTGTCGTGGAGAAGTATAGCCATAAATATAGGTTACGATGTGGTACCACACCTACGATGTGGTACGATGTTACCACACCTGCGATGTGGTACAAACAACACCTCTCGCTTAGCATACCTCCCGTGAAAGGTGTTAGTTTTGTACTGAGATTGTGTCAGTACTCGTGTAAAAGCTGTTCATTTAATTGTTAGCAGCGCCCTACATAGAGCACTAGGGCATCCCACAACACACTCACTACCCGTGTTTTAATAGACTGGCTTCATTTGATAGTGTTCCGTTCGTGCTTGTTTGATTATTTATTGCTCTGCGTTTATTCCCTATTATCTGTGATTGTGTACGTGTTGTCTTGTTGACGTGTACAATCAAGATAAGTGAATATTGTGCGTAATTTCTATCTATTCTTTTCTCGGTAATACCGTTCTTTTTCTGAAATTGTGCAGTGCCCCGTGTTTTTTGTCAATGAGACTACAAATCTTCTCTGCTTAGGTATATTATTTCAGGTAATTTGCAGTGTTACATACCCTGCCGTATAACGACTATATGTATAGACTAGAGCGGGGATGTGTTGTTCCGAATGTAAATGCGGGCAACGAATTTGTGTTTGTTTTCAGTGTAAAGTAGTAATAAAGGCTATTTAAACAATGTAAACGAACCTCTCTGAGATATATCTTTGCTGATCCATGCGTAAATAATTTGAATCATGCTTGATATACTGTGTAGCAATCGAGGTGGAATACAGCAGTAAACAATACGGGCATTATGTTTACATTTTTTATATTTTAAGATATACAGAGTATCGATCGTCTATACGTTTAGAGGTTACTAATGAATAAAAACACAATTACAAATCAGTCAGTGAGCACAGTCGAAAAGGTTGCTGTTTAACTGTGCGGGCGTGTTTTTCACCAAGTGCGTAATTCAGGTCTCAGTTTCCAGTAGAAAGAAGGAGGATATCGTTTTGCGATGCATCAATAAAACATTGCCGTTAGCAGAAAATCTAACCGTTATCATAGGGCGGGCAATGATACCCGGGCTACATGAAGTCGACCGGCCTAACGATGCCCTTTTAGCGCCGCGATGGTTCAGTAGGGTTTGTTAATTCGTGTGCACCTATCTAAACATCTATGTACATCTCTTTGTGGACTGCAGTAACTAATGAGACAGTGTCAGCACACGGAATGATGGGCTCAGTAAACAGACGAAGCGTGCTCACGCATAAATTACTCTCATCAAATACGGAGCGAGTACTCATCTATTTGTACTCCAAATAGTGATGGCAATGAGCCAAGACGATTGCTCCATTGATGTCTTACCCCCGGCGGCGTATATGCTGAATATTCCTCTATAGTCTCGGTATCAGACCGGAATCTCGTAGGTCCGTCACGGTGTATCGACGCACGATTCAAGCTAGCTGGCGCGTTTCCGCGAATGTTGATAGAAGACGTGCGGGCGTGGTCGTGTCACAGAAACCGCACGAGTAGAGAGAGGGAGAGAGAGAAAGAGAGAGGGAAAGAGAGAGAAAGAGAGAGAGAGAGAGAGAGAGAGAGAGAGAGAGAGAGAGAGAGAGAGAGAGAGAGAGAGAGAGAGAGAGAGAGAGAGAGAGAGAGAGAGAGAGAGACGAGAGAGAGAGAGAGAGAGAGAGAGAGAAGAGAGAGAGAGAGAGAGAGAGAGAGAGAGAGAGAGAGAGGAGAGAGAGAGAAGAGAGAGAGAGAAGAAGAGAGAGAGAGAGAGAGAGAGAGAGAGAGAGAAGAGATGTAGAGAGAGAGCGCAGAGAGAGAGAAGAGAGAAGAGAGAGAAAGAGAGAGAAGAGAGAAGAGAGAGAGGAGAGAGCGAGAGAGAGAGGAGAGAGAGAGAGAGAGAGAGAGAGAGAGAGAGAGTAGAAGAGAGAGAGAAGAGAGAGAGAGAGAGAGAGAGAGAGAGAGAGAGAGAGAGGAGGGGTAAGGGATGACTGGATGAAGGAAAGAAAGAGGGGAGGGGAAAAGGTTTCCAAAAAATTCCACATGGCTAGCTCTAGATAATGAGCGTGCAATGCGCTAGGGGGCCTACAGCGTGATCTGTGATAGCCGCGTTCGAGGAAAAACGAAGTATATATGCCACTCACCTTGTCATGCGTTATGCTATTTGTAACGATTCTGCCATTTTACTCGTGATAATTCGTGTTTGTTTTGGAGCTTTTGAACATTATAATTACATTCACTCAAACGAATATGATTAGTAGTAGTAGAGAAAATTGGCGCGATATGCACTCACATGCATACACGTGTAGCTGTTCCTAACGACCCCCCCCCCCACACACACACGCCTTCTTCAACACGCAATAGTCCAGAACACGAAACAACGTTTGCCATCCGATGGACGTTCAAACACTATATATTTTCAATTCGTTCGCAATCGCGACAAATTTTCGCTACTGGAAAAATGACGTATTCTGTAATTTTCTATATTTGCGTGCCAATCAATAAACCTGTTTACCATGTTCATATGATGTTTTCGAAAGTTTGGCGAAATGAAATTAACAGACCTTGGAGAAATTATTGCTTCGAATTGCATTGTCTAATTTTAAGGAAATAATGGAAAGAAATTGCATTGCAAACTTGTGAACATGCCGCCGGCACGTGAACGCATCTCTGCGCGCTACTACACACTTCAGGGAATTTTATCGCACCAATATGACAGTTTTGTGATTAAGGCAGGGCCGGTGCTTTAATTTAGTAGCCGCGGTTGTAATTCTGTTATCTGTGCGTGACAGGCACAACTTCAGCATCATGGACAAAACCTGTATAATTCACTTTACAATTACAATACTGTCATGCTCGTAGACATGCTATCTAAGATATCTTCATCTAAAAAAAGTGTGCCTACTGGGGGGACACATTCACCACGAAACTAATATATACAGCAATTTCGTTGATTGAAAAAGACAAAGACTGTAGTGTTAGAAAGATTATGTAACAAATAACGTCATAACCATGTACGCAAATATTGGTATCAATAGAGTGGTCCCCGCTTTATCGAGTCTCGGATATACTATAGTCTACTAGCCAGCCTAGTGAACCTAGAAATGTCGAGTACTATAAGGTTTTATGTTGGAAATGCAATATACAGGTCATAAGGACTCACAAACTGCCGGATGCTAATTTGCATATGTGTAGCATTTTGCTTAATTTGCCTTATCATCATATT